AGGGCCTCCAGCTTGCGGTGACGCGACCTGGGGGCCCTTATCCAACCTCGGGTCCCGTGAGGGGCCCGTGTGGAGGCTCTCAGCATGTAACAAGCTCACTGCTGCTGCTGTGGTCCTCCTGTTCGTCTCCTTCTAAAGCAACGAAACTTTATGGTTTTCAGCTCATGGTCGTCATAGACTTGACAGAACTCGTGCAGGAGATAAAAGGGCCTTTACCCGAAATAGGCCTCAGGCTTTGTCAAAGTAACGCAGCACAGACCTTGTAAAAGTAAAGCATTGTGAAAAGGTATCTCGCCAGGGCTCAGAAACGTGAAAGCAGGTCAAAGGTCAAGTTCTCTATCAACAGGCACATCTAAAGCTAAGGCAAAGGGCATTGTCAAAAGACTTACCTGTTCACCAGGAGATGTGTATGTCATGTCTGTTCGGGTAAGAGTGTGTCTGTACGTGCAGGCAGTGTACCTGTTCGTGCAAAGTAAAGTGTCTGTTCAAGCAGTACATGTGTCTGTTCGTTGAGAGTTGTGCCTGTCCGAAAGTAAAGTCAATAGGCACAGTCCCAGTTCTGGTTTAAGTCAAGGGGTCAGTCCAGATCCAGACTTTCAAGTCCAAATACAGGCCGAGAGGCCACATCAGCAGTTGAACTTCATTGGGACTCTACTGGGACACATTGTTACGGACTTCGCCAGGGCTCGATCCCTGGTCTATCTTTTGCTGTTTCGGCTGCATCCCGTTTTCGGGCTGGCACCCTTTTTCCAAACCCCTCCTTTCGTACCGTAGGATTTTGGACAACTGGCGCCATGCTGCAATTCGGGTGCCACTTTCAAATACTGCATTTTTCAGTTCTGCCCTCGGGGCCTTTGCAGAAATGCCCCTGGTACCGTACGTGTCACCGGTACTTATGCCGGCTCCCCGTACGGTACGAGGACCAGTCTCGTACCAGTTCCCTGCTGCTGTACTCGTACTCAGTGTGACTTGCTGTTTCGGCATTCGGAATCCAAGACTTCGACTTTGTGCCTTGCCACTGTGTCTGCGTCCGATCCTCAGTCCGAGTCAGTCGTGTCGAGTGAGTGAGTGTGTGTGTGTGCTCTCACTCTCTCCCTCTCTCTCCTCTCCCTCGGCTCACCCTCAGCCTCACGCTCGTTACACACATGCAATGCAGGGTCTGGGACAAGGGACAGGCTGAATTGAGCCAATGCAGACCCAGCGAGGAGTGGCCAGCACTATAAAGAAAGCTGCCAGCCTCATTCCTCGCCAGATCTCCACTGGCTTGAATGCGTGGAAGTGCTGGTGCACTTGTGCATTAGTCAGTAGGAGTAGCGCTGGAGGAAGGAAGATGCGCTAAGAGGGAAGAAGAAGACTGTGCGCTGGAAGGGATGCAGCCATAGCTGCCCAGCGAGTTAGTAAGTAGAGTAGAAGGGTTAGTACTTAGCTATGAGTAGTATCCAGAGTAGATCCTTGTGAGAACAGTGTGTGCATGCATAATAGGAGGAAGGGATTGAGACGAAGAGTGTTCATTCAAGGTTTGGCTATGGGAGACACTTACCTGAGTTGGTTGTGAACTGCAGAGTTGGCGCTGATGAGTTGTGACCATATTGATGACTAGGAGACAATCTGCAGAGGTAGCGCTGATGCCTTGGAAGGCATATTGATGAGTTGAGTAGAGATTTGTGTTGCGCTGATGAGCGCTGGACTCAGGGGAACTTTGAAACACTTTGTAATCATATTTCTGATAATATAAGCTGTGAGACTCGGTCCTCTTCTTCTCTACCTTTGTCTATGGTTGAGACTATTGATCACTGCGTGAGATGGTCCCCAGGACCCATGCAGAGATAAGAAAAACCCTTCCAAAGTATTCAAAAGATCACCGTGGAGTACAAGGTGATGATTGGGACAACGTCCTGCCGAGAGTCTTCAAACTTTTTTTCTTCTTTTCTCTTTTTTTTTTGGCAGCACCGGTTCAATAAGGGTTTGTTATTCAGGCCTGCCCATGCTCTGCATTCATTCGTAAATTCATCTGAGTTCATTCTTAGGTTAGAAGCTCACTGCTGCTGCTGTGGTCGTCCTGTTCTTCTCTTTCTCAAGCAATGGAACTTTTATGGTTTTCAGCTCATGGTCCAAACTTCTCCAAAGTTGCAACTATAATGGGATACCCAAAAAGGTCAAATGGCAGGAAGTACGAGAAAGAGGGTCAGAGGCTTGGTGGCAAGGAGGACCTGCTGCACTAATTGTAATGATGTCATTGCTCACCGGCCTCTGAAGTCCCACTGCAAATCCAACTGAGGTACTTAGAACGCCATCAATCCCACTAGCACCTCTGTTAGCTGCTACTGATGTACTGGTCCCTGGTTTCCACGTTTGTGGAGTTTCATCCATTTTGACACGAGATGCTCTGGACAAGCCTTCTATAGCCATTTCCCTTTGATGGCTCCCTTCTCCCACATTGCCAATCTTGCCTTCCCCATACATGTCCACATCTCGGATAGGCATGCTGTTTCCCAGGAACAGGCCTCCTATTGAAAGAGCTGACTGAGCCGCATTGCGTGCTACCCATGGTTCTGTGATGTAAGTCGTCGATTCAATCTTGCGCCCAATGACAGTCTCCACCTGTGACATAGTCAAGAACACATCATGAACTGCAATAAATTAATGCAGAGACTTTTGGGAAAGTGCAAGCAAAAGGTTCCCTGAACTGAAGGACTAGTACATCCAAGCCTCTTTTTGCTGTGGTGGATTCACACTGCGTGCCAAACTTCGCCAAACTGCCAGTGGCAGACTTTTCTTTCTTTTTTGGCTGGTGCCGCTAGCCATCATGGTCCGGGAGCCACGAGCCCGGGAAGTTTCAGATTGGCTAAATTTCGATTCTCAAGTTTGCCTGTGTTATGTACTGGCAGTTTAAGCAAAAGGAGGCAGTACGCAGGACAAGTTGATAGTGTGCTAGATTGTCCCAATTGCCTCAAGAGAGGCAATTCCATGATACCTGTGGTTTGAGCATCGGTATCGTGGGTTAAATTCACAGAAAGAACTGATGATTCCCGATTCTTGTTTTGTTGATAATTGCCCCTCTGGCAGTTCTAACCATCATTTGACCATTTTAAGGATTGCAAAGAAAGAAAAGAATAAAGCAAGGACATATGCACTACTGTACAAACATGCTGAGTGCCGCAAAACCAGAAAGGATCCACTTTTATTCACCGATGATCACAGAGCTCTCATCCTCACAGACCCATTCAGTCACAGTGACCAAACCTGTACTCCAGTCACAGGAATGCACAACATGGCAATGGAGAAAACAGGCAAGTGCATTGAGCAGGTAACAGCAACTGAAAACAGAAACACAAAACTTAGTATGTGTGACATTGACTACAAATGTCCATCCCTTTTTGCTGAATGGCACACAGTAATACGCATGTAACTTTTGAAAGTTTTGATGAACAGATGAGTTCGCATCCAAAAAGAAAACGTTGATTGCAGATGGGACAAGAATGTTTGGTTGTGGTCTTCAAAAACAGCACATTCCATCCTTGCAACCGGCAGCACTCATCAAGTGCATGCTAGACAAAGATGAGGCATGCAAGATAACTCGACAAGACTAAACCACAGGAGCATCCTTGTTGGCAGAGTGGCAATCGCTCTTATCACTGGCATAAGCCACTGACCATTTCAGCCTGCCCCATTGAGCTTGAGCTCCGGGGCAGTTTGCCAACCAGTCAGACTGACACCTATAATCGGCCAGCGAGATCCAGGTGTGCAGGCTGAACACCATGAGCAATGCACATTTGCAGCACTGTCGCTGGTGCTTTCAAGGATAGGGAGTGCCTGCGCAGTGTGATGGAGGGCGAATTGGATAACTAGCAGGCAGACTCTCACATTCAAACAGAAGTAACCCCCCACTGTTATGATCCTGGCCTATTTCGAAGTATACATACATCAGAAAGTACAATGCCGTCCAATTGCGAAAAGAAACGAATGAATTTGAGAGGAGAGAGAGGGAAAGAAGAAGAAGAAGAAGTAAGAAAGAAGAAGAAGTAAGAAAGAAGAAGAAGAAGTAAGAAAGAAGAAGAAGAAGTAAGAAAGAAGAAGAAGATGATGTACTCCAGCATAGACCAATGACAAGGCTCTTCTTCTACACCAACCAATCTCCTCCTCCTTATCTCCTCCCCTCTTATTCAAACAAGAAATGACAATAATAATGTTGCATGGCGGAACCAGAATCAATGTCCCAATCCCACTTCTACTACAGGCACAACATGAGGTCCACCATAGCCATGGCCACCCTTCCTCTTCCTCTACATACAGGCCGAGACTATGGCGGAGCACTGAGGGCTCTACCCTCCTGTCCAAAGGACAACCCAAAGCAGCTATGTTGCCGCCCTTCTGTCCCAAGGTCAACACCAGGCAGCTATGTCGCTGCCCACTCATCCGCCATGCCCGACTCTGTCCCGAGCTTCCTTGATGCGGCACTACCCCAACTGGGGCCTTCCAGATGCAGCACCGAACAAGGTGATGAAGATGGTGTCCACCATAGTGTCACATGCCCAGTTGGGCGATGTACATAAACAACCGAGAATCCGCAGTGTGATGAAAAGGACTGAATGGACAATGCAGTGCAAGGGAAATATCAACAAACAGTGTACATCCTGATACATACAAAAATGGTGCTTTATAGCGCAGTGGAAGACTTAGATACAAGTCCTGACCTGACCGGGACTGACCTCTCTCACGTAGTGCAGGACAGCACAGCAGAATGCTCGAATACCAATGACTAGCCCAACCAATGTCGCAGTACAGACCAAACATACATCATCCTCATCCCACGGTGTGAAGGGGCCTGGTGCTACACACAGGAAGAATGCACCAGGTCCAGTCCATACACTGACGAAGCGGAGGGGAGCAGATGAAGAAGAAGGGGGAAGATGGGGATGTCGTCAACACCAAGTCTTGGTTACAAGTCCCAGATAATTCCTCGTCAAATGTCTGAAGCCCAACGTCGACTCTGGATCCAAATGTCACCAAGCCCGATCTCTCATAGTCTGCTGATGCAGTGAAATGATGCACTGAAATCAGGTAGCGGGAGGGTGAGAGGGACATGATGGACTGAGAAGAGGAAGAAGAAGAACTCTCTCTCTCTCATCTGCCAGGTACTAACCTGTGAAGATGGCGCCGTGCTGCAGGTACCTCGAAGGCGAAGCTGGAGCTATGGAGCTGCAGGTAAGTCTCCCTGGCCTCCGCCCAATCTCTCTCTCTCTAGTACTACTCTAGCTCCTAATAGCGCACAGGGCTGAAGACTAATGTTAACGCTACTAGCACCCAGCGCTGAAGACTACTGCTAGCGCTACTACTACTCCTGCAGCGCTCCTCCACAGTGCTGCTGCCGAGTCCTGAAGACTACCTCCTGC